AAGCGCTTGAGGATCGGAGAAAAAGCACCAGGTGGTTGAATCATGGCCCGGCCCCGAATCGATCGGGAACTCTACTCGCAGCATATATTCTCTCGCCATGCAGTGTAGAGGCGCGCCGAGCGCAACCGGGCCTTTTCTCGCCCTGTGACATGTTCAACTTGAACCTCTCCGCGGTTGCATATTATTGATTCGAGAAAAAGACGTGTGGACGAAGTAGACACATTGATCCAATGTACCCAAAGATTTTGTCCGGTAGTGCTTACCTTGACTGCCATAAGCATTCGAATGTCGTTGTCAAAACGAAATCTCTGACATATGACCCGCGTACAATGTGTCCAGAAGCCTGAGTGCTCCTGTGCTTAGCTTTTATGCTAACTGGCGCAAGCGCTTGAAGATCGGAGCAAAAGCACCAGGCTGTTGAGCGATGGCCCGGCCCCGAATCGAACGGGGAACTCTGCTCGCAGTATACCTATCTTTTAGCACCATGCAGTGTAGAGGCGCGCCGAGCGCAACCAGGCCTTTTCTCGCCCTGTAGCATGTTCAACTTGAACCTCTCCCCGGTTCCATATTATTGATTTGAGAAAAGGATGTCTTGATGAAGTCGATACATTAATCCAATGTAATACCCACAGATTTTGTCCGGCAGTGCTTACCTTGACTGACGCAAGCATTCGAATGTCATTGTCAAAAGAAGATGTATCCTTATGGCCCGGCCCCGAATCGAACGGGGAACTCTACTCGCAGTATACCTATCTTTTAGCACCATGCAGTGTAGAGGCGCGCCGAGCCCAACCGGGCCTTTTCTCGCCCTGTGGCATATTCATCTTGAACCTCTCCGCGGTTGCATACTATTGATTTGAGAAAAGGATATGTTGATGAAGTCGACACATTAATCCAATGTACCAAAAGATTTTGTACGGCAGTGCTTGCCTGGACTGGCGCCATTGTCAAAACAACCAGTCTTCTATATGGCCCGGCCCCGAATCGAACGGGGTGCTTCTGCGGGGGAACATCAATATTGTTCTTGAACCAGTGCAGACGCGCTCCAAGCGCAACCGGGCCTTTCTGCACCCGCACCTAATCGTAACGCTATGCTGTCATCTGGGTATGTATGTATATTATCGATTCGTGAAAAGGATGTGCTGATGTCATTGATGAAGTCATACTACAGCTGGCTGCCATGCACGATTTAAATAAATAATCCTTACTTGATCCGATGTACCAGAGGCTTTTGTGCAGCATCACTGCTTGGCTTGACTGGCACAAGGGTTTGAGGATCAAAATAACGCAAATTAAAATAAACATGTTCGTGGAATGCTATGGCCCGGCCCCGAATCGAACGGGACACATCTGCTTCAGTGCATCTTAACGCCATCGCAGCACGAAACACAGACGCGCTCCAAGCGCAACCAGGCCTTTACTTGCTCCGTGGTGCCTTCAGGTTTAACCTCTCGTTTTTAGATTCAACCCACCAACATGTTGGGCCGGCACATGGAAAACGCATGTTCCAGCCTCCGGCCTCGTCTTGATACCGGAATTGCCTACAGTGAGCCCAGCCCCGTTTCTGGACTTTGCAAAAAATGCTGAATAGAAGGTTTATGGCCGGGCCCCGAATCGAACGGGGCACACGTGGCATCCGCTTGACACCTTCGCGTTCTGGTTGGCGATATCGCGCAGAGCGAAACCAGGCCTTTCTCCACCTCATTATGCGGGCATGACATTCGCGTGGAAATTGATTGATTCATGGGAATGATAGTGCGAAGGATTCGACACTGCAGTTGTGGATTGTAATTTGAATAATATATTTAAGGTGCCCAGAAGCCTTTCGTGCAGCAGTGCTTTGACCGTGACACGTGCTCGGCGTTCGCTATGTCATCCCGAGCACAAGGCAAAAAGAAGCCACCTCGTCATTAAAGCTTCTCCTTACGTGACGCTCTAGACCGACCCAGATCCGCTCAGCGTTAATCGAAGAAAGAACGAATTAGAAAAGAAGAACGGTGTTCGGACCGCCCCCCGCCGCTTCTACGGGCGCCGCAGGAGATTTCAAGGAATTTCAATCAAAGGAACCATCCAACACGGTAATTCACGATCACAAAGTAAAATTAAAGCAAAGCCAAAAAATTAACTTTCCCCGTAATATCACAGCAGCTTGAACATGTTCCCGCAGTTGAACTCGGATCTCCAAATGCGGATCCGCGCAATCAGATCTTGGCGCTTTGTCGAGCGGGCCTTACTACTTTGTGGTACGCTGCCCTTAACATGATAGGATCAGATGAAATTTTGCGATAGTGTATACGTGAAGCGCTGATTTAGTTGAGTGCTTTCACACAAATATTTTACTGGCCAATAAAAATTCCACGTAACCCCCGATATGGCTTGTCACCGAATCGAACAGGGACAACTCTACACGCCTTACGTTTTTCTTAGACGCAGTGTAGACGCGCTCCGAGCGCAACTGGACCTGACCTCCACGCTGTGGTATGTTGTCCTTGTCACCATTTTCCGTGGTATGAGAAGAGCGAAACATTGCGATAGAGTCTAAGTGAAGCGTCGATTTAGTTGAGGTTCCAGAGTTTTCACGCACAGATTTTACTGACAAATAAAAATTCGACTCACCGAAATCAATATATATGGCCCGTCCCCGAATCGAACAGGGGCGACTCTACTCCCGCGATATTTTCTGGTGATGCAGTGTAGACGCGCTCCGAGCGCAACCAGGCATTACGTCTACTCTGTGGTACGCTGGCCTTGAGATGATACAAGTGGAGGCAAATTTCGCGATAGAGTGAATCGTCAATTCAGCTGATGCCCCATAGTCTCCCATTGCGCATGCAACGCAAACGCCGTCGCGAACGTTTAGATACCGGCAGGTAAAAAAACCATATTCTCGACCCTGTCATGGCCCGGCCCCGAATCGAACGGGATACATCTGCGGAAGAACGGGAATATTTCATGAGATGCAGAAACGCTCCAAGCGCATCCGGGCCTTTCTCCACCCAGTGTAACGCTATTTAAATATCTCGATTCTCGACATCCGCGGTTGTATATTATTGATTCGGGAAAAAGGATGTGCTTGTCGGACATACTACAGCTGCCATGTGCGATTCAAATAATATATAACCCAATGTACTGCGCAGCAGTGCTTGCTTAGCGTGACTCTGACGCGTGCTCGGCGCAAGGGTTTTAAGATCGAAGCAAAAGGATACGCTATTCTCGCATGGCCCGGCCCCGAATCGAACGGGGAACGCTACTCGCACTAGATTGACCTTTCTTCGCCATGCAGTGTAGAGGCGCGCCGAGCGCAACCGGGCCTTTCTCGCCCTGTAGCATATTCACCTTGACCCTCTCCCCGGTTGCATATTATTGATTTGAGAAAAGAATGTGTTGCTGATGAAATCGACACATTAATCCAATGTACCCAAAGATTTTTGTCCCGTAGTGCTTGCCCTAACTGGCGCAAGCATTCGAATGTCATTGTCAAAACAAGATGTCTCCCGTATGGCCCGGCCCCGAATCGAACGGGGAACTCTACTCGCAGTATACCTACCTTTTCTCAACATGCAGTGTAGACGCGCTCCGAGCGCAACCGGGCCTTATGCATAATCTGTGGTACGCTGGCCTTGAGATGATACGAATGGAGGCAAATTTCGTGATAGAGTGAATCGTCAATTCAGCTGATGCTCCATAGTTTCCCATTGCGCATGCAACGCAAACGCCGTCGCGAACGTTTGGATACCGGCAGGTAAAAAAAAAAAATTCGACCTTTCTATGGCCCGGCCCCGAATCGAACGGGATACATCTGCGGGAGGACGCGATTATTTTATGTTGCAGTAGATGCAGAAACTCTCCAAGCGCATCCAGGCCTTTCTCAACCCAGTGTAACGCTGTTTAAATATCTCGATTCTCCACATCCGCGGTTGTATATTATTGATTCGTGAAAAATGATGTGCTTGTCGGACATACTACAGCTGCCATGGGCGATCCAAATAATATATAACCCAATGTACTGCGCAGCGGTGCTTGCTTAGCTTGACTCTGACGCGTGCTCGGCGCAAGGGTTTTACGATCGAAGCAAAAGGATGCGCTATTCCCGCATGGCCCGGCCCCGAATCGAACGGGGAACTCTGCTCGCAGTATACCTACCTTGTCTCGTCATGCAGTGTAGAGGCGCGCCGAGCGCAACCGGGCCTTTTCTCGCATTGTGGCATGTTCAACTTGAACCTCTCCGCGGTTGCATACTATGATTTGAGAAAAGGATGTGTGGATGAAGTAGACACCTTAATCCAATGTACCCAAAGATTTTGTCCGGCAGTGCTTACCTTGACTGCCATAAGCATTCGAATGTCATTGTCAAAACAACAAATACTCGAAATGGCCCGGCCCCGAATCGAACGGGGAACTCTACTCGCAGTATACCTATCTTTTAGCACCATGCAGTGTAGAGGCGCGCCGAGCGCAACCGGGCCTTTTCTCGCCCTGTGGCATGTTCAACTTGAACCTCTCCCCGGTTGCATATTATTGATCCGAGAAAACGATGTGTGGATAAAGTAGACACATTAATCCAATGTAAGTTACCCAATATTTTTGTCCGGCAGTGCTTTCCTTGACTGCCATCAGCATTCGAATGTCATTGTCAAAACAACATGTATCCTTATGGCCCGGCCCCGAATCGAACGGGGTGCTTCTGCGGGAGAATGCAAATGTGGTTCTATAAACAGTGCAGACGCGCTCCAAGCGCAACCGGGCCTTTCTGCACCTGCACCTGAACGTAACGCTATGTTGACATCTGCGGATATATATTATTGATTCGTGAAAAGGGTGTGCTGATGTCATTGATAAAGTCGACATACCACAGCTGGCTGCCATGCACGATTTGAATAATTCTTACTTGATCCGATGTACCAGAGGCTTTTGTGCAGCAGCACTGCTTGGCTTGACTGGCACAAGCGTTTGAAGATCAAAACAAAACAAAAAAATTAAAAGAAGTTTGTGGTATGCTATGGCCCGGCCCCGAATCGAACGGGAGACAGCTGCTTCAGTGCATTCAATTCCGTTCATGTTGCACGAAACACAGACGCGCTCCAAGCGCAACCAGGCCTTTACTTACTCCGTGGTGCCTTCGGGTTGAACCTCTCCTTTCTAGATTCAACCCACCACCATGTTGGGCCGGCACATGGGAAACGCATGTTCCAGCCTCCGGCCTCGTCTTGATACCGGAATTGCCTACACTGAGCCCAGCTCCGCTTCTGGACTTTGAAAAAAGCGATGCGCAGAAGCTTTATGGCCGGGCCCGAATCGAACGGGGCACAGGTGGCATCCGCTTGACACCTTCGCGTTCCGGTTGGCGACACCTTCAACCGCCAACAGGCCTTTCTCCACCTCATTATGCGGGCACGACATTCGCGTGAAAATTGATTGATTCATGGGAATGATAGTGCGAAGGATTCGACATACTGCAGTTGTGGTTTGTAATTTGAATAATTTATTCAAGGTGCCCAGAGGCCTTTTGTGCAGCAGTGCTTGACTGTGACACGTGGCTCGGCGTTCGCTATGTCATCCCCGAGCACAAGGCAAAAAGAAGCTCGTCATGAAAGCTTCTCCTTACATGACGCTCTAGACCGGCCCAGATCCGCTCAACGAGAATCGAAGATAGATAGAATTAGAAAAGAAGAACGGTGTTCGGACCGCCCCCCGCCGCTTCTATGCTACGGGCGCCGCAGGAGATTTCAAGGAATTTCAATCAAAGGAACCATCCAACACGATAATTCACGATCACAAAGTAAAATTACAGCAAAACCAAAAAATTAACTTTCCCCGTAATATCACAGCACCTTGAACATGTTCCCGCAGTTGAACTCGGATCTCCAAATGCGGATCCGTACAATTAGATCTTGGCGCTTTAGAGTCTAAGTGAAGCGTCAATTTAGTTGAGGTTCCAGAGTTTTCACGCACAGATTTTACTGGCAAATAAAAAATTCCACACAATTACACTTAATCTGGCCCGTCCCCGAATCGAACAGGGGCAACTCTACTCGCACGGTATTTTCTTGGGATGCAGTGTAGACGCGCTCCGAGCGCAACCGGACCTTATGCCTACTCTGTGGTACGCTGGCCTTTAGATGATACAAGTGGAGGCAAATTTCGCGATAGAGTGAATCGTCAATTCAGCTGATGCCCCATAGTTTCCAATTGCGCGACACAAAAGCCCTCGCGAACGTTTGGATACCGGCAGGTAAAAAAAGAATATTCTCACCCATGTCATGGCCCGGCCCCGAATCGAACGGGATACATCTGCGGAAGAACGGGAATATTTCATGAGATGCAGAAACGCTCCAAGCGCATCCGGGCCTTTCTCCACCCAATGTAACGCTATTTAAATATCTCGATTCTCGACATCCGCGGTTGTATATTATTGATTCGGGAAAAAGGATGTGCTTGTCGGACATACTACAGCTGCCATGTGCGATTCAAATAATATATAACCCAATGTACTGCGCAGCGGTGCTTGCTTAGCTTGACTCTGACGCGTGCTCGGCGCAAGGGTTTTACGATCGAAGCAAAAGGATGCGCTATTCCCGCATGGCCCGGCCCCGAATCGAACGGGGAACTCTGCTCGCAGTATACCTACCTTGTCTCGCCATGCAGTGTAGAGGCGCGCCGAGCGCAACCGGGCCTTTTCTCGCATTGTGGCATGTTCAACTTGAACCTCTCCGCGGTTGCATATTATTGATTTGAGAAAAAGACGTGTGGATGAAGTCGACAACACATTAATCCAATGTCCCCAAAGATTTTTGTCTCGCAGTGCTTGCCCTAACTGGCGCAAGCATTCGAATGTCATTGTCAAAACAAGATGTCTCCCCTATGGCCCGGCCCCGAATCGAACGGGGAACTCTACTCGCAGCATAAATTCTCTCGCCATGCAGTGTGGAGGCGCGCCGAGCGCAACCGGGCCTTTCTCGCCCTGTGGCATGTTCGACTTGAACCTCTCCTTTCTATTATAATTAGCTATCTGAAGATCCGCGGTTGCATGAGTATCATCGATTTGAGAAAAGGATATGTTGATGAAATCCACACATTAATCCAATGTACCCAAAAGATTTTGTCCGGCAGTGCTTGCCTTGACTGCCATCAGCATTTGAATGTCATTGTCAACACAAGATGTCTCCTATATGGCCCGGCCCCGAATCGAACGGGGTGCTTCTGCGGGAGAATGCAAACATGGACCAAGAAACAGTGCAGACGCGCTCCGCCTCCAAGCGCAACCGGCCCTTTCTGCACCTGCACCTCATCGTGACGCTATATTGACATCTGGGTATGTATGTATATTATTGATTCGTGAAAAGGATGTGGCGATGTCATTGATGAAGTCATACTACAGCTGGCTGCCATGCACGATTTAAATAAATAATCCTTACTTGATCCGATGTACCCAGAGGCTTTTGTGCAGCATCACTGCTTGGCTTCGTTGGCACAAGGGTTTGAAGATCAGAACAAAACAAATTAAAATAAACATGTTCGTGGAATGCTATGGCCCGGCCCCGAATCGAACGGGACACATCTGCTTCAGTGCTTTCAATCTTTACGCAACACGAAACACAGACGCGCTCCAAGCGCAACCAGGCCTTTACTTGCTCCGTGGTACCTTCAGGTTGTACCTCTCCTTTCTATATTCAACCCACCACCATGTGCCAACATGGGAAACGCATGTTCCAGCCTCTGGCCTCGTCTTGATACCGGAATTGCCTACACTGAGCCCAGCTCCGCTTCTGGACTTTGAAAAAAGCGATGCGCAGAAGCTTTATGGCCGGGCCCCGAATCGAACGGGGCACAGGTGGCATCCGCTTGACACCTTCGCGTTCTGGTTGGCGATACCGCACAGAGCGCAACCAGGCCTTTCTCCACCTCATTATGCGAGCACGACATTCGCGTGGAAATTGATTGATTCATGGGAATGATAGTGCGAAGGATTCGACATACTGCAGTCGTGGTTTGTAATTTGAATCATTTAAGGTGCCCAGAGGCCTTTTGTGCAGCAGTGCTTGACTGTGACACGTGCTCGGCGTTCGCTATGTCATCCCCGAGCACAAGGCAAAAAGAAGCTCGTCATTAAAGCTTCTCCTTACATGACGCTCTAGACCGGCCCAGATCTGCTCAACGAGAATCGAAGACTGATAGAATTAGAAAAGAAGAACGGTGTCCGGACCGCCCCCCGCCGCTTCTATGCTACGGGCGCCGCTGGAGATTTCAAGGAATTTCAATCAAAGGAACCATCCAACACGGTAATTCACGATCACAAAGTAAAATTAAAGCAAAGCCAAAAAATTCACTTTCCCCGTAATATCACAGCAGCTTGAACATGTTCCCGCAGTTGAACTCGGATCTCCAAATGCGGATCCGCGGAATCAGATCTTGGCGCTTTGTCAGCCTGTCATCCAAGCGCTCCTTGCTCTCTCCCTTCATCCTCCTCCCATTCACTCGTCTGCGCAGGATGATTCGATTCGACACGCTCCCCCCCGAGGTCATGCAGGCGATGTGCACCCCGATGCACCAGATCCTCCCCCCGACCCCGCTCCCACCCTCTAGCTCCCAAATGGCCCATCCATCCTCCTCGTCTCCGTACTCGCCTTATCCCTCCTCCTCGGGTGGCGGAGGGGGCCCACCGCGGATGAGCGGCGCTTTGTATCTCGGCTCCCTCAGCGCGGTCAACGACCACCCCCTTCTGCGCGCACACGGAATCACGCACCTCGTGCAGGCTTTGGAAGCGCCGTGGGCGCCCCCGGCTCGGAAAGAGGACGGGTTCGTCGCGTACAACATCGATATTCGGGACAAGGAGAGCGTGGATCTGCGGCCGCATTTGGAGGCCGCCTGTGTCTATATCGAGCGGGCGCTGAAGCGCGGAGAGGGTGTGCTGGTACATTGTCAGCAGGTAAGCGCGTGTTTCTGTCCCTGCAATTTCCCTTGATCTGTTCTAGTCGACCCCTGCCCTTGTTCCTTCTTCCTGCCTTGTTTTAATCCCCCCGTGATCCCGCCCTTGTTCTGGCTATAGCCATCTCGTCACTCCTATTCCCGTCTTGCTTCTTCCCTGCCTTGTTCTCGTTCTTTTTTCGTTACCCTTATCACTATCCTTATTCCTCCCTTGTTCTGTTTCCATTTCTCTTCTCTTCTCTTCCTCGTTCCCTTTTCTAACCATCTCGTCATCACAGGGCATCTCACGCTCCCCTTCCATAATAATCGCCTACCTGATCCGCAACCACGGCATGTCCTACGAATCCGCCCTCGCCTTCGTCAAGCGCAAGCGCGCGTGTGCGAAGCCCAATCCGGGCTTCGCCCGCGCGCTCGTGGAGTGGGAGGCCGCGTGGCGGCGCCCGCAGGTCGCACGGCGGTTCACATCCTGAATCCCAGCGCCTCCCTCCCCCGCGCTGCCCAACACCACCCCATCTATCCATCCATCCATCTTGCTTCCTTCCATCCGTCCCCACCGCACCGCACGTCCGCCCCAGGCCCAGGCCCAGGGCCACCTGCCCACCTGTCCACGTTAATTATGCGCCACACCACACTGGGCACCTCGTGCCGGATCGCCGGCACGCGATCCGCGCTGCATCCTGGCTGATACCGTGATAGGGATCATCCATCCATCGAAAACAAAACACGCTTCTCGCGTAATGTATTGTTCCTGTTCCTGCGCTTTCATTTCGGGTTATCTTCTGCTGCGTTGCCTCGCCCCCTCCTTGGCTTACTCTACATCGCTCCAATCTCCACGACACAACACAACATCTCTCATGTATCGTATCGTATTTATCCCCTCCCTCGCACGCACGCACGCTCCTTCCTACATCAATCTCTCTCTCTCTCCCGGATATCATCCTCCTGTTCTTCGTCTTCGCTATCGTATACTACATATAGGGCTATTGTTGTTTTCCTTGGGTGTATCGTGTATCTCGCTCGTCTTATTCGTATCCTATCTATTGCTACTCGTTTTCGTTTCCGCAAGGCGTCTATGTATCAACTTTCCTTGCGGCGCGATTGAACAAACCGATCCTTCGGACTACCCCCACTGCGAACCAGTGCGAATTGAATTTTCACTTCAGCTTTTTCGATTAGGTTAGTCGGAGTCGGAAAAGCCAAAGTCGACACCAAGCGATACACAATAAATTGGGTGTGGTGTATGGCGCACCTCTGCTTCACTTAAGTGCTTTGAGTACAGGCGCCTTTGCAGCAGGCGATCCGGGTTCGAATCCCGGCGCCCGAATTCGCTACTTGTGCAGGTTTTTGCATTTTTGTCACGACTCTCTACGATAGAATGGGTCGGTTTCCTCGCTCGTCGTACTCGTATCCGTTATAACCTATTGCTCCTCGTTCATGGCCCCTTGATCTTTCGCGCTCTATCATCATCACCAAGTCGAGCTTTAAATTTATATGATTCCGTCAAAAACCATTCATCAACGTGCGTATATAACCTAGCAAAGTCGACCACAGGCCACTACACAATAAATCGGGTGTGGTGTATGGCGCACCTCTGTTTCACTTACATCTGCCAAATATGTCGTCCGCAGAAGATCTGGGTTCGACTCCCGGCACCCGAATGCTCTGCTTTGTCGAGATTTTTTTGCATTTTTGTCAGCGACTCACTCTACGAGTCTTTCTAAGACATGGGTCAGTTTCCCCGCTCGTCATGTTCGTACCTGTGATATCCTATCTATAATCTATTGCTCCTCGTTCATGGCCCCTTGATCTTTAAAGTTCGCGCTCTATCATCACCAAGTTGAGCTTTAAATTTATATGATTCCGTTAAAAACCATTCATCAACGTACATATATAACCGACCCCAGGCCAATACACAATAAATCGGGTGTGGTGTATGGCGCACCTCTGCTTTACTTATGGTGGCGTCAAAATGTCTCTTCGGCAGAAGATCTGGGTTCGACTCCGGGCGCCCGAATGCCCCATTTATTAGGTGTTTTTACATTTTTGTCACGACTCTCTCTACGATAGAGTGGGTCGGTTTCCTCGCTCCTCATGTTCGTCTCTGTTATATCCTATCTATAATCTATTGCTCCTCGTTCATGGCCCCTTGATCTTTTCGCGCTCTCTCATCAGTGATCACCAAGTCGAGCTTTAAATTTATATCATTCCTTCAAGAATCGACACACATAAGAAGTCGACACCCCAATACTTTTAAATCAGGTGTGGTGTATGGCGCACCTCCGCTGGCAAACGGCAGATTCTGGTTCGACTCCCGGCGCCCGAATTGGGTCTTCGGTTTGTGACATTTTTACCTCACCTTTTCGCTCAACTGGGCAGTTTTCTTTTTCTTCCAACCCTTTGAAAATTGTGACCAAGGGCCGGGGGGTTCCGATGAGATAAGGCCGTCTGTTGGTTTGAACTCCGTCTACTTGCAACATCTCAACCTCACTTCTCTATATACCTGCAACCACGTCGAACTCCAGCATCTCAATCGGTCGCCACGTATGTAGCACCGGCGCCGCCTAAGTTACAAAAATCGGGCGCGGTGTGTTTTCATGAATGAGCAGAACTTGAAGGTTCAGGTTGGACTCCCAGTGCCCGAAATTTAAATTCATTGCTTGAACATCTTTTGCCCACCGCTCGAAGATTGAGACAAAGGGGCCGGGGTTTCTGGTCAGGTCATACATTTAAGCATTGGCTTGAAGTTCTGTAGCAATATATATTCCTAGCTGAGCATGGCAATGGACAAAATGAAGAACCCAGTACTAAATGGCGTGAATGCTGGGAGGTCAACATAATATTTTCATTTTTCATGGTCACGGCGTGTGACGCAAGAGCAGTGTTTACAACTAAACTAAGTACACCAGACCTTCTAGGGCAGCGCTCCCCCATCACTTTTTCATCAAAACCTGCCTCGCTATCATTTGAACATCTCGACATTCGTATTTCTCCTTTCGGAACAGCCTACGAGCAGAACGATAGTGGGGAGCGCTGCCCGTAGAACATCTGGCAATGAGACTACAAGTTTGTGAGACTCTGGGAAACCTTTTCCAAAAAGTGAATTAAGAGGTTCGCTAACACCCCACACTGTTAGCCGGTGTCACGGCATTCTCCGGCGGGCACCTCTTGACTGCACGACTAAAGATGACATGTGACAGACGACGAATCACAGACGTTTTCTTTCGGAGTCCTTCTCCGGCGACTTCGGTGAGAGCTATTTCCCCGTTCCTTTGTCTGCTTTATCTTCACCTTTCCTGCGCGACCCGGAAAACCTTCAAGTTCTCTACTACCTTCACCACTCCGCACACATCCTTCCACATCAACACATATTGCTAACTCCAAAAGAGCGGATTAGGCATTTGTCGTTGACAGGAGGTTGACACCGGGACCCCTTGTTCGACCCCTTGTTCGGAATCCGCCGAACATTGAATCGTTATATAAAATGCGCATGTGTGATCCTTATGAAGGTCCATGGCAATGTCTCACCATTCGAATGACGGAAAGGCCCCCGCAGCCTCGCCCGCAGTGTCGACGCAACGTAAGTGTTGCTCGTTTGAGATTAGGTGCTGCGTCAACCGAACCACAGCGAACCATCATCAAATCACGATCGAAGGATTCAGGGCCCTCGGTCTGCTCGTAAATGAAAGTGCCCCGCTGTTGTTCCTCCTACTTATTCAGATTCAAAGGCCACGTTCTTCGCGGGCCTGCAGGCGCAGATGTTGGCCGTGACTCTCGCACGCAATGATACGACTGCAGCCCAGCTCGTCAACGGTTTTTGGCTGGTAGGCATTTTTCTTGACGTGTTCGGTGCGGTACTGGCCACCCTCTCGGCGCGGTGGTTCGAGTTGCTTGATGCGGACGAGATCGCTTTCCTGGAGGCGAAATGGACGGGGACCGCGGACCACTCATCATCGCTGCGTGCGCTGTCAATCGAGAACATCGTTGCCACTGCGCTCTTTTCTGGGCTGCCAATAATCGCATCCGGGGTCAGCCTGTTTCTGATTGACCTTCTCATCTATGTATGGTCAAGTCAACCCCTTCTTGTTGCCATCATCTCCACCATCCCATCCGCGATGGCCATATTTGTCGCCGCTTGCTTTCTTCCTCAGTCAGGAAAGAAGGATCATATTGTTGAGATTTTAGCGAAGAAGCGCGGGGCATGGTGATATTTTGCGGCTGCGTTTAATTGAAGTAATTTTGAGACAGAGTCACCAGTGGAGAGAGTACATATGTGTGTTTGTATAGCGGTAGCCAGGCAGGCGCTCACCCCGTCTGAACTGTTCCTTTGGACCTCTGCTGAGTTGTTCGGCGCATCTTGGTACTCCATGAGCTCTAATGTTGCCGCGACTCCCGCCTCAGACCCCCCGAGTTGACTTTGTGGAGTCGACTTGAGTCGAGTCGAGTTAGTTGTCTGAATCCGCTGAGAATGTTTCCGGTCTTCAGGTCGGAGAATGGGCCTGCTTCGGCGCGGTTTTTACTTGGAATGTTGGATGGATTCTTGATTCTTATACTCTTGCTATTCTTCGCTCAAGTTCCCGATTTAATCCGGGATACAATCTACTGTCTGTGGAATCTGGATATCGTCAACTCTGTGCTCCGTATCCGATCAAAACCCTGTACGGGCGACAGAGGATCCCACGGCATACGCGGCCCGTCTTGTATAGGTCTTGCCGCTAATGTCATCCGTGCTTGAGCGCAGGAATCTGGCGGTGAAAAGCCCATTGGCCGACTCAGCCGTAACAGGTTGGAAAAAAAGCTCGACAAGGTCAATAAACAGCTGGAACGAATTTTCAACTCAGTTGAGACATAGATGCCTGTGACAAATAACACCACGCCAGTTACCATATACGGATTTGTTCTGCTTTGACAGGTGGAATCAAGGCGTAACAACGAGTTCCACGGTTCCAGGGTGCATTAAATGTGGGTAACATCATTTTTCTTGCTCAGAAAGTTGGGGCTCAATTTCTTTTTCCCCCTGCCTGACAGCCGGACTACTATCCCTACAGATCTCGGACACCCAAGGAAAATCGCAAAATAACAAGGCTTTGGGGTCGGGCTGAGTATGTCGATTACCAGAAATCTGTCCTTTACCCCAGGTTCATATTTTACTTCATGAGAAACGGATAACAATTGCTCAAACGGCGTCATTCTTTCGGAGGTTGCCACATGTCCGAGTAGCAGGTAACACGTCAAATTTGGATTGCCGGCCTCGTGTCTGACCGTCTTGCAGTCGAGGCGCATCTAAATCTAATAAAGTGGAGCTCCTCAAGGCCTTCGCTTCGCTCCCGCAGGCACCATGGTAGAATTAATCTTTAAAATAACTTCCCATTTGACTTGTCCAATGAATGAGTGTTCTGAACTGTCGCTCTATGACTAAAAAAAACTGTATAAACAGGAGTGATTGGTATATGGAACCTCGACCACGAGCTCGAGGCAAGAGGGTACGAAAAAGTTTGGAAGGGAACTTATTGTATAGAAGTTGAATCTATGTCAAAGGTGTATAGGAGAATGCAATAATTTTGTTAGGAAGTTTACATTGACAATTGTATGGCTGTAATAGTGTTGCAATATTTTTTGGTACTCCACACTTGAGATGTTTCCTCCAAAAATACACCACTTCTATGGGGGTAATACTGTTGCAATATTATTGCAAAAATAACAAAAGTTACACACCTTTTTTAATATGCAAACAACACAGGTTCCTAAAGTACACAAGTAATTTACACGCCGGAAAATTGCACAACCTAACAGTGGCAGGAAAGACACAAGTGCGCAGTGCCATGAAAAAGTACACATCACTTGTACTGACTTATATTATTCACAGCATCACTGTCTGGAACGCAATGCATACCTTAAGGACTGCCAAATGCAATGCACAACTTGTGTAAACCATATTGAAACATGCAGCCTTGGATCTGGCAGATGTCATAGCGTGACATCGGGTTAATGCGGCATAGATTGATGCACCAACACCAGCATTGTGGCCGACGGGTTGGTGATTACCTCGGCATTCTTTGCATCTCTTTATCCTCATCCTTACCTAGTGATGGATCGAAGGAAAGGACCTCGGGCACAGTTCATCGTGTTAATTGTAGTTTCCCTCGAGCAATGCGGTGAAATTCTTTGAGATCATCCCTCATGCCGAATAAGCCGCTAGCCAAAATTTGAAGCTCCGGGAGCACATCAACGACCATCACATGTAGTCACACCTCACCAATTTCAACTGTGTTTCAGGATGTTGTGTAAACATAGACCACCACCCTTGAAGTTGTGTCTTTTTCATTC